CTTATTTTTATAAATATATATTTATGTAAATTTAAAAAACCACCTGAAAACATATTAACTAAAAACTACCCAATCATTATATGTGAATTGTGAGATAATAAATTATTTCATTTTTAATTTTATTCTGCATTTTGAATTATTTTACAATGAACACGCTTTCTTATATAATCAGAAACATATGGATATACACACACAGAGGTCGGGGAGGCATAAGAGACAGAGATGGAGATGAAGACAAAGAGACAAAGAAATTTTTATTTTGAAAAAATGGTTAATTACAAGAACTCCGAATAGCAAAGAATCTTGAGAAAGAAAAACAAAACAGAACGTATCACACTTCCTGATTTCAAGCTATACTATATAAAGCTATAATCATCAAAACAGTATGGTGCTGGCGTAAAAATGGACAAATCGATCAATAGAATAGAATTGAGAGCCCAGAAATAAACCTAAGCATATATGGTCAACTAATAATTGACAAGGGAGCCAAGGATACTCAAGGGAGAAAAGACAGTCTCTTCAATGGTGCTGGGATAATTGGATATTCACATGTATAAGAATGAAAAAAAGAAAAGAAAATGAACCCATATCACTCACAAAAAATTTAACCTGAAATGGATTAGAGACTTAAATGTAAGACCTGAAATCATGAAATTCCTAGCAGAAAACATAAGGATAAAGCTCCTTGACATGAGTGTTGGTAATGATTCTTTTTTTATATGGCACCTAAAGCACAAACAACAAAATAAAAATCAAACAAGAGGGACTATATCAAACTAAAAAGCTCTGCACAGCAAAAGAAGCCATCAGCAAAGTGAAAAGACAACTCATGGGATGGGGAAAAATATTTGCAAATCATGTATCTGGTAAAGGATTAGCATCTAAAACATAAATAATTCATTCAACTCAATAGTAAAAAAACAAATAACCCAATTTAAAAATGGGCAAAGGACCTAAGTAGACATTTCACCAAAGAAGATATGCAAAAGGTGAACAGGTACATGAAAACATGCTCAACATCACTAGTCGTTAGGGAAATGCAAATTAAAACCACAATGAGATATCACTCACACAGTTAAAATGGCCACATACAAGCGATTAAAAAATGCTGGAGAAAAGGGAACCCTGGTGCACTGGTGGTGGAATTAGAAACTGATACAGCCACTATGGAAAACAGTATGAAGGATCCTCACAATATTAAAGACAGAACTACCATGTGATCCAGCTAATATTTGCAAATCATATATCTGATAAAGGATTAGCATCTAAAACATAAGTAATTCATTCAACTCAATAGTGAAAAAACAAATAACCCAATTTAAAAATGGGCAAAGGACCTAAGTAGACATTTCACCAAAGAAGATATGCAAAAGGTGAACAGGTACATGAAAACATGCTCAACATCACTCATGCTCAACATCACTAGTCGTTAGGGAAATGCAAATTAAAACCACAATGAGATATCACTCACACAGTTAAAATGGCCACATACAAGCGATTAAAAAATGCTAGAGAAAAGGGAACCCTGGTGCACTGTTGGTGGAATTAGAAACTGATACAGCCATTATGGAAAACAGTATGGAGGATCCTCACAATATTAAAGACAGAACTACCATGTGATCCAGCTATTCCACTGCTGGGAATACATCCTAAGGAAATAAAAACACTAGCTTGAAGAGTTATCAGCAACCCCATATTCATAGCAGCATTATTTACAACAGCTAAGACATGCACATGCAACCAATCTGTGTCCATCAACAGATGAATGGATAAAGAAGTATATATACATACATATATATAATGGAATATTATTCAGCCATAACAAAATCAAGAAATCCTATCATTTGTGACATGAATGGACCTTAAAGGCATATGCTAGGTGAAACAAGTCAGAAAGGGAAAGACAAATACTATATGATCTCTCACAAGGAGAAAATCTGATTTTCCTATTTTTCCTTTTTTTAATTGTATCTCTTTGAGAAGTGGGTGCTAGCTGAAAGTATTGTCATCATTTCACAATATAGGGAAATAAAACCAACATGCTGTATGCCTTAAACTTATACAGTGATGTACGTCAATTATTTCTCAGTAAAACTGGGGGGAAAAGAAGAATTTAATTGCCCGACAGGCACTGATTCTCTGAACTGACAAATCACCCTGCAGGCTACTTTCCTTGTCCATCTCCAGTTCTCTTGGCTGCTTCCTGGTTCATGACATGTAGATTCTGATCTGGCTGAGTCTTCACACTTTTCTTCCTCTGAGCTTATTTTGCTCAGGTATCCTCCCCTCCGCCTCTCCCAGGAACCTCAGATAGCAGGCCTTTGCTGCCAGCCACAATCCTCTCTCCTGGCTTCCAGCAGCCCTTCTTATGAAGCACTGAACCCACTTCCAGAACTTTCCCATCATAGGATGATGGGAGCTTCCACACATAATAACCAAGATGCAAGAGATTCCTTTTAACTCTATGACCTCCTCACACCCAAAACACAAGATCCACAATACAGTGGAAACAATATCAAACTCAACCCCAATTGTATAATCTTAAGCAAATCTATAGTGTATTACGACACATAATTAATCAGCCTTTATTGTGGCAAAAACAAACACCTTGCTTCTTTCCTGCATTATGTGTTTGTTATGAAGGTAACATCAATGCTTTTATTAATGACTAGAGGCCCAGTGCACAAGATTCGTGAACTGGTTGGGGCGGGGGTTCCCTCAGCCCGGCCTGTTCCCTCTCGCAGTCTGAGACCCTTTGGGGGATGTCCGCCTGCCAGCTTAGACATCCCTCTTGCAGTCAGACATCCCTCTGACAGTCTGGGGCTCTCACAGTCTGGGATCTGTTGCTCCTTACCGCCCTCCTGCAGCAGAGGCTGGAGAGGCTCCTGCCACCACTGCTGAGCCTGCCAGCCGTGAGTCCAGCTTCTGGCTGAGTGGCACTCCCCCTGTGGGAGCATACTGACTATCAGTGTGCAGCTCCTGCGTTGAGCGTCTGCCCCCTGGTGGTCAGTGCACGTCATAGTGACTGGTCATTCCGCCATTTGGTCGATTTGCATATTATGCTTTTATTATATAGGATGCCATCAAATAGTTATTAGAGCAAACTGCTTTCTTTTGCTGCCATGGGTGAGCTGCCAGAGGAGAACAGAGTGCAATTTGAATGGGAGCACCTGTAGAGGAAAGAGCTGGCACCTGCAGATTTCAACTATGTATTTGTTCTAATGAGTCTCAGTGTGTACACATTTAACTTAAGCACTTTCAACACTAGGCCCTGGGATAAAAGAAAAAGAGAGAGAGGTGCTCACTTCAGCAACACAAATACTAAGATTGGAACAATACAGAGAAGATTAGCATGGCCCCCGTGCAAGGATGACATGTAAATTCGTGGAGCATCCCATATTTTTTATGCTGTGCACCTCAAACTAATACAACACAATATTGAATGTAAACTATAATTAAAAATAAAATTTAAAAACCAAAAAAGAAACTTTCTCAGAATATAAACATGTGAAAAATAAAAAGAGAGAGAAGGAGATATGAGTAAATAAGGAGAGAATCCATGTATTTATGCTGCTGCTCTCGTCTTCAACCTAGACCTCAGTCTCCACCACCAAACACACAGCCAAATGCAATATGAAGCGAAAGAACTTAAATGAAGGTTTTAAGCTTCTAGGGCTCAGGACCTAGTAAGTCAAGAGGTTTTCAAGGACTATTTTAGCCTTATATGTTTTTCTTTCTGGGATGAGCTGTGTATGAAGACAGGTGGCTGGAATAGCCACAATATTTGGTCTAAAAATGTCCTAACACTTCAGGTTTATGTGTCAGATATTATCAAAGAGACCACAATGCAGAACTTTTTTAAGTGTCAGAAAATCACATTCCTCACAAAGAAAAAGATGTCTGAGCAAAGAAAATACACACACACACACACACACACACACACACACACACACACAATGGCAGGTTCAGAAATAGAACAAAGCAGACTTAGAACAACAACAAAAATAACCAGATCGTCTTAATAAATCAAGAAGGAAATGCCACTAACCTGGTTACTGCTCGGGTACAGATGGTGACGAGGAAACAGCCAGCCACAATCATCCAGCCCCAGCCTCCATCCGGGGGGGAGGTGGACCGGGCTTTATTTACTTTTGTCATGGTTTTCTTTTTTTCTTCTTTTCCAAGTTACTCCAACAGCCCAGTTATGATCCTGGAAGAGTTTACTTTCCCGTGACTTCCTGTTGGCATTCAAGATTGGCATAGAATGCTACCTGGCACATGGGTCACTGTGGGCCATCTAAAACCAAAATCAGGACATATTTATCATTTATTGACATCTCCAATGGTTCATTTTTCAGTGGGCAAAGATGATTAATACTTTCCTGTTACATATGATTATTTGTAACTAAGAATATTGGACTGGGGCAAAGAGCCTTAGTGTCCTTGGAGCCCCTCCGCCTTCTCTTTCATAGTAGATCCTCTCGAATTTTAGCCAACCCACGTGCACCCAGTTTGATGCCATTTTCCCTAGCCTTTCCTGGAGGCAGGGATAACAATGTTGTTTTAGTCTTGATGAAAGGGATGCAAGAAAAAGTAATAGGTGCCACTTCTGGCTCATCAGATCAAAGACAAGGGCGCTTTCCCAAGACATCCACAACACCCTTTCCCACCCACTGGAACATGACGTGGAGACAAGAACTTCAACCACACAGACCAGGACATCGCCCTGGGGCTGGCAGAACCACAGGATAGAAGGAGCCTGGGTCCCCAGAAGACTCTTTGGAAAAGGCTGCCTCTCTAGCTCTGGGTTTCACATACCTCTCACTGTCAGAAGAAAGATAAAATAAGCATCAGTTATATTTGAGCCTCTGTATTTCTTATCTCTTTTTTTTAATTAAATATGTTTTTATTTATATTTTTGGAAAGAGAGGAAGGGAGAGGGAGAGACAGATACATCAGTGAGAGAGAAACCTTGATTGGCTGCCTCCTGCATGCCCTCTGCCGGGGATCGAGCCCACAACACAGGTATGTGCTCTAATTGGGAATGGAGTCAGTGATCTCTTGATACATGGGACAACACTCAATCCACTGAACCACAATGGCTGGGCTGTTTCCTATCTCTTTGTGTTTATGGTATGTTTTAGATCTAGCACTCTCTCTCACAATTCAACAGGAATAGCATTCAAGCTTCTACTTACACCTGCACACAAAAGAAAACTCAACAATTAGACACAATTAGGTGTCAAGTGTCATGAAATGACAGAATCGATTATACAAGTTAAAAAGCCAAAGCTGCCCTAGCTGGTTTGGCTCAGTTGATAGAGCATCAGCCTGCAGAATGAAGAGTCCCCGGTTCGATTCCAGTCAAGGGCACATGCCCAAGTTGTGGGCTCGATCCCTAGTAGGGGGCGTGCAGGAGGCAGCCAATCAATGATTCTCTCTCATCATTGATGTTTCCATCTTTCTCTCCCTCTCCCTTCCTCTCTGAAATCAATAAAAATATATATTTTTTAAAAAGCCGAAGCTTAGAAACTTCTGTCCTAATCTCTTCATGGGTTTTTCCATTAAAATAACCCCCAAGGTTAAACTATTTTCCAACTAATAAAGACCATTATAAACTTTTGAACAAAAATAGATACAGAGGCAGAGCTGCCTCAAACAGACTGTCAAACTGCAGCGGGAAGGCTGGGGAGGGTAGGGGGGCAGAAGGGAGGGGGTAAGAGATCAACTGAAGGAATTATATGCATGCATATAAGCATAACCAATAGCCACAAGACACTGGGGGGTAGGGGAGGCCAGGGGATTGTCAAGAGTGGGGGAAAAAAGGAGATATATGTAATACCCTTTGTAATAACTTTAAGCAATAAAACTAAAAAAAAAAAAAAGGAAAAAAGTTTAGGAGAGCAAAAAAAAAATTAAAAAATAAAAATGAATGAAAGAAACTAATTAAAAAGATATAAAAATGAATGAAAAAACTAATTCTGAAGATATAAAAAATTAAGAGAAAACTATCCTCAGAATATGGTTAAATAGCAAAAATAAAATAAAATAAAATTGGAGAAGAGTTGAGCTGCCCTTAGAGAAAAATGAAAAGTTTATCTTCTGGAAACATTTAACCAAAAAGAGATTTGAATTCTGGAAACTTGAATTTCAAAGTAAGATGCCCAAAAGAAAGCTTCTACAGATAATAGCTTTTATGAAGGAGGATAATGAAATCAATCACCCATTGTATTACATGGTCCAACAGTCAAAATATCCTCATCATGAATGCAGAGCTTCCAATAACCTTCTGAGGATTAAGTTTTTATCTTAAACTTAATGAAAATAACTTCTTTCATATAGAAGTATCTGGTACAGTATCTTTGTGCCTGCATAAACAACCATAACACTACAGACACTATATGTAACAGGGCAGAACTGTGATGCCTGAGGGAAGAGAATCAAACAAGATCAGCCTTATGATTACCTCAGCTTTCTATTTGGAAGCAACTTCCAGACTAGAGCATAGGTAGGGAAAAATCAAGTAAAACTATCTTACTCAAATGAAAAGAACATAGATAAAAAGTTGGGGAGGCCCAAGGACCTGAAATTTGCAGGACGGCATACCAGGGAACCATCCAGAAAAAAAAAAGTTCTAGAAATCTGCATAAAGATCCCTTCAAGTCTTTGAATTTAATTCTGGTCATGTGTTAAGTAGAATTCTAGAAAACTAGCCAAAATGTAGTATTTAAAAAACTAGAAGCTAAACAATTCCCAGAGTTCTCACGGGAGATAGTGGAATTCCTATCAGTCAAAGAGGAGAGAACTTTTTAAATGCTCAAGACATTCACTAGAGACCCCAGAAGAGTCATGCCTTACTTATTACCAGTTAATAAGTAATAAGTTAATAAGTTATTTAGTACCAGGACTAGATAGAATTAGAGCAGAAGCCACTGTGAAAAGTGCTAACAAAGCCTGAAGGCAAACCTCTAAAAAGATAAAGCAGATCCTCAAGGAACTTCATTGTCTGACAAAACTTAAGGATATTTAAAGAAAGAGAACAAAATGCAAACGTTCAACCACGAAAAGTCATAATGTCCAGCATCCAAACCAAAATTGCCAGACATGCTCCGAGGCACAATTCTTTGACTGACACCAGAAAAAAAAAAGGGAGGTGGGGCAATAAAGAGATTCCAAAATGGCAGGGATTATGGGATTAGCAGATAAGGACTATAAAACACATTATAAATATACTCGAGGATTTAAAGGAAACTGGAAGATATTTCTTTTAAATAATAAAATGGGACTTCTAGCATTGATATATACAAGTACCTGGAGTAAAAAATTCAGTGTGATCAGCATCATGGTGGAATAAGATGTCCCTCATATTTGTTCCCCTCCCGCAACAACAAACTTTTGGCATCTACCCATAGACAAAAGGGCATTTGAGGGAGCTGAGGGACCCGGGAGGAGTCTCACCCATCCATACACTGGGTAATAGGCAGAGATAACTCAGTCCTGCCTGTGGATCTGCAGTGGTTCATGAACCAGCTCTAGCCCATCCTGGCTGTAATCTGGGATCTCCCGGGAAACACTGTCTTGGACAATCACCCACAAATGAGAGAGCCAGAAGTACAGTTCAGAGGAACAATCACCCACAAATGAGAGAGCCAGAAGTACAGGTGTTCAGAGGAAAAGTTCCAGCACACCAAGGAAGAAAAATAAAACAGTTTGGAGAAATTCAAGTGGGTAATAGGAACAGCTTGCCTTTACTCCATCATTCCTTCCCCAAGCAGAATGGCTGAGGGCCCTCTTAAAACCAAACATAGTACAAGAAAGGGACACCATTAACTGATATTGCCTAATGAGCATAGAAGCAAAATCTTTAACAAAATATGAGCTAATCAAACCTAGGAACATATAAAATAGATAATACATCATGACCTAGTGATGTTTTCTTCCAGGATTTAAGATTCATTTAACAATTGAAAATCAATCAATTTTCCTACTTCCAGAATTAAGTAGGAAAATTATATAATCTTAATAGGTTAAAAAAAAGACATTTCACAAAATTAACACTCATTTACAGTGAGCATTTCAGAAAACTAAGAAGTAGAGGGGAAATTCCTCAACCTGATAA